TTTTAGGTGAAGAAAATCTCTGTGTTTAGAGCTGGGCGTATGATTGTTGTGAGGGGATAGACTGACTTGAGATGTTATGTAGGCTTGCTGCTGTTCTGGGTATTCTTTTTTCTTTTTTTTTTTCCTCCTTCACCAAAAGGAGTTTTCCAGAGATGCATAAAGGCTTACCCTTCAAGAACTGGCTTTAACAAAAAACCACAGCTCTAGATCCAAGCTACCACAGTCACTCCTCCTCCCTATGTGCAGAAAAGTGCAAAGCTCTGACTTTATCATGTGGAAAACCGTGACACTTGGGGATGCTTTCTGCCAGATACCCCTGAGTGCAGACCCTGCACGTGTCTTTAGCAGTTATGCCCTACTACCTGCCAGTTGGTTGTTCAGCTGTGAATCATCCTTATGGTGTTCACTGACCGTTTCTGTGGTTTTGGCTGCTTCTGCAAAACTTCCACTGACCAGCCCAGTACTAATTCATTTAGTCTGAATCTGTAAACACTTGATTGATAATCATAAAAGGGCAATATAAAAACTTGTGCACTGCATGGATTAAAAGAGCAGACATGTTTATAGCCTGATAACAACAGAGCACTCTGGCAAAGATCAGGACTCTCAGATTTCCATATCCAGATGATTTTATTTTTGGAGTTCAGTTGGTGGTTTTAATTTTTGGCTATTGCAAAACCATCGTAGGTCTTAGCTGTTGCAACATAGGAGGAGGAGGAGGAAGACGTTGCTTGGAACGGGTGCTTGTGCGCTCTTATTTAGGAGGCTTTCACAGTAGTTGCTGCTCTCTGAGTACAGCAGGGGGAATGATGCTCCCTCCCCACTGCCTGGTGAGGGGGACAGGGTGCAACTGTGTCACTTAATAGTGTCAGCTGTGAGGGGCACGGACACGCTCCGATGACATTTCTGCCCAGCCCCAGGAAGGGAATCGCTGAGGTGAGCAGCGGGAGGATTGTAAAGTGGAGCCCTATGGAGAGGAGGAGGGGTATCCTCAAGACTTTAACCAGGAAACAGACTCGAGGCAAAAAGAAATGGAGAGGCAAGCAAACTCTTATTTCAGCCAGCAATCTATCGTGTGCTCTGCTCTGGGGAGGGCTTGCAAGTTGGAGCTAAACCAAAACACTAATACTGCTTTTTTGGGGGAGAGGAGGGGGGGAACTTCACCTGGCAAATCAGCCTTATCCTATCCTTTGCTCTCTATTTCTCCTGCCTGGGCTGAAGAGGCTTTTAACAAAAGTGGGGCTGTAATGTCAGGGGACATTGCAGTGTGCATGTGAGCTTGCTGGGGAACTCATGCAACTCTGCATCCCTCTTCTCCGGTGTGCTTCACTCTGAGCAGGCTGTTGCTTTTCAATGCAATGCTGTGTCCTGTGTTAGAAACTAGACCTGAACTAATCGGCATGGATGCAGAAGCGCCCACAGCAGTGGGTGTAATTGGTGCTGTGTTCTCTATGGTGTTGCCTGTCTTGTTCTTTTGAGTCCCCTTTGAGGGGGGAAAACCTGCAATCTGACGTAAGATACCGGCAATGTTGTGGGCATCCTGAGTAATGTTGAGGAGTAATTCATCAAAAGATGCTTGCGGGGGATGGAAGGCTGAGGAGGGTTAAAGTGGGTTTTGGTTTTTTTTTAACCTTACTGGCTGTGCCTGAAGGGAATATAGTCACAGCCTAAACCAGGCTACCCAGAAAATGTTTAAGGCTTTTGATTACTGGGAAGAGCTGTTTCTCTGTCTTCTTTGCTCCTCTCCTTCTTCCTTTCTTTCCTCCTTTACTATTACTGAAGTCTTCCCTGCTGTGCAATCCCTAATCCTGGGCGAGCATTGCTCCAGGAGCCACAGGGACCCCACCTCTCCAAAGGGGGATATCCTCTAGGCATGATCTGCTGTAGCTGTAAATGAACGAGTTTGACTGTGGTTAATTCCTAGACAAGGAATTTATCACTTTTTTTTTTGTCTAAATAGGAACCCTGTAACACTTATACAAGCTTCTGTTAAAACAGTCTCCCAATTGTATATGTTGCCACTGTAATGACAAAGAAGTCCTCCTGCAGTGAGTGCCTTATCTGAGGCAGGACAGAGTAAACGGCATCGTGAAGTCCTGCTGGGTTTTGGATATGTGAGTGCAGATATAACCTATTTTGCTGGACTGTTGTAAACCCACTTTTTTTGGAGCCAGAGTTGCGGAGGTGGATTTGAAGTGCTGCTTCTCCAGGTTTCCTGGCAAGGGTGCTCCCCTGGCACATGGTCCCTGGCTTGGCCTTAGTGGCTGACAGCAAGGTGTTTGCCAGCCTGTGCTCCAGCCTGGTCCTCTCTTTGTTCCCAGCAGGTACATGTGCATCACATGAACACCGCTCTTGCCACCAAGCCAATCCTATGTTTCGGCGTTTTTTTTTTTTCCTTACTCTACTCCCATAAAAACTGTCTAGGAGATAAGAGGAAAGAAGACATTTGGGGGTGTCTATTCAGCAAGTAGCTTCCTGGATGTCCCCTGTTCCCTTTGCCACTGTTCGGTCCCTCCTTTTGCCTTTCCACACACTGAGTACTCTGCTGATGCACATGCATCAACATAAAGCCATGTCAGCTTTTGTTTCTGGTTAGAGAACTGGTATTTATCTTAAGAAGACTAAAATGAAGTAGGGGTAATAGGTGTTAGTTGCATAAATAGCTTGAAGGAAGGTGGTAATTCTGCCCCATTCTGGACTGGAGAAGGGACTATGTGGAAAGCTGTGTGAAACAGGGGAAAGTAGCTCATCACACTCTAGGTAACCCAATTAACACTGGTTTAAACCAGAATACACAAATCAAGTTGATTCATCATGAACAGAAACACGATGCTTATTTTGAATGAACAGCTATAGTGAACATTTTTAGTATAAATTTCAATGTTGTCAGTTCATGGTCTTCTGCCCCTATTCCTGCTACTGGCTGTGGTTCAACTATCTATAGAAAAGCTAAATCTCTTAAACACAGAATTCTAGAGGAGGTGACTCCTCTTTAAAGAAAATTAACCTACATAACGTGAGGAGATTGAGGCACGCTTAGGGAGCAAGGAAGTCTTCTAATTTTCTGGATTTCTTAACTCTGGTCCAAAGGGAGGCATTGTGATAGTGTTTCCGTTCAGGAAATGGTTGAATTAATTGCTTTTTTGTTCTAGGATTTTCACAGGATGCTGTTTTAATGGCTGATGCAGTCTTTACCTCTTTCTTGGCAGGGATGCTAATTATTTGTCTGTAGAATCACTTTGCATCTTCAGCCCAAATGCACGTGAACATGCTGTGTTTGGAAATGCAGCACTGAGCATCCTGTGCTTGGCTGTCAGTCCTCTGACTTGTCTGGTGGACAGTTTCAGACCATGCTGCTTCCTTCCCATCTCTTGTAGCCAATTTGTCATCAGAGATTCAGGAGACCTGGAGTCTGCTCCTGGCTCTGCCCACATCACGTGAAATAGGACTTTGAGCAAGTCATACATCTGCTTCTGTCTCCCCTTTCCATCTGCATCTTAATCTAGAGAGACAGGAACTGCCTCTTAATATGTAAAATGTATGATAGTGCTGTTCACCCAAACTGCTCTGCCTTACTACGTTGCTGTAATTCAGGAAACCTGTAAAATAATTTTGCGTTAAGGCATATTGGCTCTTAGACAGAAGTTGTAGGTGCTTTTTGCTCTGATCTGACTCTTTGAAGAGTGTACAAATGAGGGCAAATCAAAAAACCCTGATGTCCTGAAGGTTTTCCTCACTTTTCAAGGCAGTTTCCAGGCAGAGCACAGTTGGTCTGTGCCTGGGCTTGGGAGTGCAGAGGCCCGGTCTGCACTGTTTATGTTGCACTGGAGAGCCGAGATGCGTCTCGTACGGCGAGCAACAGCGCAAGGAGGTCTCCCTCCATGTCTGGCAGTGCGGCTTGCCTGCATTGCGGCTCCACCCCAAAATGCACAATTTCTGTTTGGGAGTGGAAAAGTCGGGGGGGGGAGGCAAAAAAAAAAACACAAAAACAAACCAAAAAAAAAAAACCACCACACAACAAAAAACCACACACAAAAGAAGAAACTCCAGAAGTGTGGGGGAAGGGAGAAGAACAGTTACTCTGTGCCTTTTTTTGCCCCTGTTTGTGTGAGAGCCTACTCTCATTCATAAATGGCTCTGACAGCCGAAAGCCCTTGGTACAAAGAGGAAACCAAATAACTGGAGAGGTTTGGTCCAAAGGCTCCAAAAAGGCACTGAAGAGCGATGGAGAGGGGGAAGCTGGAGCGTGCTGTGCCCCTGTCCTGCTTGGGGCTGCTCCGCTGCGGGGAATGCGGAACCACGGAGCTGGCGGGGGGCAGGCAGGGGGTGGCTGTATTTGAGCAAGGATCTGGCGCTAGAACTTTTTTTTCTTCTTCTGTTTCAAGTAAACATGCTTCCCCGCCCTCCCCTCTCTCCCTACACCCCACCTCCCTCTCTTTCAATCCGGCTCATGTGTTTCTATTTAAGGGCTGTAGTGCAGACGAATATGATTGGCATCTACAGCCCTCTCTTGACTTTCAGCTCAAGCCTTTAGAGTGGAGAAGGAGCTGA